TTGTTATTGTTATTATTATGATCATGTTCTTAGGTAATTGTTTAGTCAGGACTACCAACATGGGTCATCTAAAAGGGCATTCAGTCTGTGCAAATTAAAAGAGGAAAAAAGACTGGAAATTAAGACAGATAAGAGAGAATATTTGAATCAAAGGAAGAACCAGAAAGAAAAAGAATAGAAGGTGGATAAGATGAGAGGTATGGGAATTAAATAGTCCTTGAAACCATTCTCACAACTTCAGGCTTACGTCAATTATCACAGTACATGCTGCTGTATAAATTTCATGATATTTGACGAGTTCTATAATGGAGGGATTGACTGTCCCAATACATAATTTTTATTAATGAGTTCCTAAAAAGTAAAGCTAGAATCAATATTGCTGGAAGAAATATCAACAACCTCAGCTTTGCAGATGATAGTACTCTGATGGCTGAAAGTGAGGAAGAACTAAAAGACCTGTTGATGTGGGTAAAACAAGAGAGTGCCAAATCAAACGTTAAAAAGACTAAGATCATGACAAACAGCAATCTTAGTTACTGGCATATAGATGGGGAAGAAGTGGAGGCAGTGACAGATTTTACTTTCCTGGGATGAAGATCTCCTCAGATGGTGACTGTAGTCATGAAATTAAAATATGTTTGCTTCTGGGGAAAAAAGCTATGACAAGCTTGGACAAGCTGGTAAAAACTAAAGATATTACACTACCAACAAAGGTCTGTGTGGCGAAAGTGACCTTGCCACTGGTTTTTGGAGGGGACTACTTGCCAGCCCCTGCAATAGATCTGGCTAAAATACTTCAAACAGGCTCTTTTCATGCAATTGGGACTATATGGTTTGTTTACCGAACAACCGCATGGAGAGAAACAACCCTGGACCTTGTTAACACCTATTAACAACTTGGAACGTTTCTCATCGCAGTGTTCTAATTGTTCGTCTGGGTGGCCGCAATTCCTATGAACAACCATGAGGTGGCAGTCATCTTGTTCGAATGAACGCAGGCAGTGATGTTTGGGCATGAATCTCATGGAACTGAAATCGGATACAGAAACTCCCATACCCCACTGGACTTCCATCATCACCTGCGTTCGTTTCTATTCAGCTTAGAAGTGCACTGTTCGGTGAAATAATTTGTCTGGATGAAGGGAACAAGCTCCAGGGTAAGACTATTGACTTTGTTCGGTAGTTTGTTAGTTTGCAAACTACTGAACTAGACCGGCCGCAAGCTCTGATTCTCTGGAACTAGTTTTTGGCATGAAACCATGCGTGCGGTCGGTCAAAAAGAGACTTTCAGGAATTTCCTGAACCCCTGTCCTGATCTGGGTGATTTTTGGATATGTTGTTCACCCAGATCAGGGCTATCAGGGGATGTATGGGGATATGTTGTGTTTTGGGGTACCTATGGGAATTTATAAAATAGGTGTTTTTTTCTGCCTTGAGAAAATTGAGTTACATACAGTACTTTACTCAATTATCTCACAGGCAGAGGGAAGGAATTGTATGTTTGTGATGGGAGTGTCGTACATTTAATTACTGTTTTGATTGGTTTGTGAGTTTTGTGTCCCTGTCCCCAGCAAGGGATGTGGGATGTATCCCTTGCTTGGGGACTTACATAAAAAGCCAGTGTGGCTACCATTAAACCAGACTTAATTCACCCTCAATCTAGAGTTCTGTCTCTTATTGTAAGGAACTGATATACTGCTATCACTAGTAGCTCTTGTAAGAGCTTCATAGCTACACTCTCCTAGAGGAGAGGCCTTCCCACTGAGTCCCTGGATCCAGGAGGTTGGTCCAGGGTGGGAGGAAGACGGCAAGGCCCCAACCAAACTCCGGTGGTTCGTGTGGTCTATGGCGCTTGCGGTGTCCGGTGCAGTGCTTATGGACCTCGGGACCTCCTTGGCAGAGGTACCCAGCCGGGGTAGAGGGAGCTCCGTTACAGTCTGCATAGTCAGAACTATGGTATTCACAGTAGTAACATACAGATGTGATATCTGGACTATAAAGAACGCTGGGCGTCATAGAATTAATTGCAAGAGTGTAATAAGGTCTCTTTCATACCCCAAATGTACCATCTTGCACCAAAAATTCAAAGACACTAACTTCTCAAATCCAATAAACAATGGGCTGTTACATTCTGGGATATTAAAACAATTACACATTTGCACATTTTATGAAATGAAATAAGCTTGCTGAGCTTGTTTTGATGTTTAAAAATGACTGCATCTGAATCATGTCTTGTTAATGAATACCTGTCCCGAGTTATTTTTAAATGGGAAAACTGTCAAATTGGGGACACAGTTCTTTTTTTACAGTTTTAAATACAGTAGAAACTCTTTGATAAAATAAAATGAACATCACAAATGTAAAAGCAGTGGCGTACACACGATCCATGGGGCCCCGGTGCGAAAACTGATCCATGGGCCACCTCTCCCCCGGTGGTTACACCGCGCGAGCTGGGACCGCAACACATGGCGGCGGGCACCCAATCGCTGGGGTCTGCATGGTGACCGGGCAACCTGGAGTGAAGGGCCCAGTCGCAGCTGCGACCCCTGTGGCCCCTGCGGCCCCTGTATGTACGCCACACAGGGGCGGGCTGGGCCGGGGGGCAGGGAGGCAATTGCTCCCCAGGCCGCCCTAAAATCTGTTGGGACCGGCCGCTGCAGGGCCGGCCCTTTAAATGCTGCAGCCGCCTGAGCACTCTGTTAAGAGCCTCAGGCGGCTGCGGCTGCTCCTCTCCTCCCCTCCCCTGTAGCGTGACTGAGCTGCTTGCTGGTCCGCGGTGCCCGGCCGGACTGATAGGAAGGCGCACGCTGAGTGTGCACTTCCTGTCAATCCGGCCGGTTACAGGAAACAGAAACTCCAGTTCCGCGCGGAGTTTCTGTTTCCTGTAACTGGCCGGACTGACAGGAAGTGCACACTCAGTGTGCACCTTCCTATCAGTCCGGCCGGCACCGTGGACCAGCAAGCAGCTCGGCCACGCTACAGGGGAGGGCAAGGGAGAGGTGAGGAGGGGGGGAGAAGTAAGTGAAGGGG